GCCTTCGGGGCCCACCCCTCCGGGTTTTGCCGGAGTCCCCTGCCCGCCTGTCCCCCTCAAGGCGCCGCGACCCCCCGGCCTGGCCGTACGGCCCGCCGGGGCCATGGCGAAGAAGAGCGCCGAGAACGGCATCTACAGCGTGTCGGGCGATGAGAAGAAGGGTCCCCTCATCGCATCCGGGCCCGATGGGGCCCCGGCCAAGGGCGATGGCCCTGCCGGCCCGGGGATGCCCGTCGGCCATATCGCCGTGCCACCGCGCGAGACCTGGACACGCCAGATGGACTTCATCATGTCTTGCGTGGGCTTCGCCGTGGGCCTGGGCAACGTGTGGCGCTTCCCCTACCTGTGCTATAAGAACGGCGGAGGTGAGTAAAGCCTGTCCCTCCTCCCACAGCCTGCCGCGGCCCACCGGAATGGAGGGGCGAAGTCCAGGGGGTGGAGAGGTCCCCCAGGGAGCCTGGGGGCCGAGGTACCTCCTCGCTGTGGCCTGGCACTCGACGATCCAGCGCCGGCCTCCACCCCCTTCACCAGTCATGTGCCTGGCGGAGGGAGGGGGGAGGGAGGCAGTCAGAAAGCCTCCTGCGTAAACTGAGGGGCTGCCCGCTAGACTCCTCAATTCCAAGGCAGGGGTGCTTGGCCACTGGGGTAAAATGGGAAGGCTGTCCCCACCCTCACTGCCCCTGACCCTGGGAGTACAAGGGGGAGGCTCCAAGAGGTGAGGAGTCCTGGCTGCCCCCACGGGTCAGGCACACAAGTGACACATTGTGCAGGCCCCCCACGTGTGCACACAGGAACACACACACACAATGGGCCACTCTGTCCCTCCCTTATGCCCTCCCTTCCCTCTTCTCTTCGCTTCCCTTCTTCCCTTTCCCTCCCCTCTGGCCTGAGCCTGGAACACTGGGTGCTGGAGCCAGGTTTGGGAAGCCTGCGGCCTGGCCTGCCTGGCGCCGCCACTGGACATGCTGCATGCACACCCCATGCCTGCCTGCCCAGCTGCCGAAGCCCAGCTTAGCAACAGCAATGGGCACCAGTGTGTCCTGTGACTGCAAAGCAACACTGGTTGCTGAGAAGCTGAAGCAGTTTAGGTGATGGGTGGGAAACCGAGTCTGAGAAGCTAGGCTTTTACCCAAGGTCACACAAGAAGGATACGGGGGCGGGAGCAGGGCAAGCTGCAGTCAATTTAGCTATTGAGTAGTGGAGACAGCTGGGCCTGAGGCAAGGGTAGAGGCCCTATAGAACTGCGTGGGGGGGTAGGGGGGGAAGTAAGGGGTTGGACAGGTGCCAGTCAGGACCTCATTGCTCTTGTGACAAGCCCCTAGGCCTCAGCACCCAGCCTTGGCACCCTCGCCCATGTCCCTTCCACTATTGTACTGCCTGGCAGACACAACTGTGGCACAAGGGATGTATGCATGAGTCCATGTATCCTCCATGCCTATTAAGTGTCCATAAGGATTGAACTTCTGGAAGGGTCCTTGTGACCAGGAAACAGGGTTCTAATGGCCAAGGTACTGTTATGGCTGTCTTCACAACAGAGCCAGAGCTGTCTCCCAAGACGTTTCACCTTGAGCTTCTGAGTCAGTGGCCGCCTCAACACTGATTCACCTAGTGGGAAGTCAACAGAACCAGGGTGGAGGACAGAACCGGGGCTCTGCCTGGACCGCCTAGGCCTTCTGGAGCCTTTGCTGGCTAGTTAGCTGATGGGTTTGGGCCAAGTACCCTGGTAGCACAAGAGAGCTTCCCTGGGCAAGTAGATAAGGAACTGCACTGCACTGCTCTCCCCTGAGCCTACTCTGCTTCCTGTCCCAGGTGTGTTCCTTATTCCCTATGTTCTGATCGCCCTGGTTGGAGGAATTCCCATTTTCTTCCTGGAAATCTCACTGGGCCAGTTCATGAAGGCTGGCAGCATCAACGTCTGGAACATCTGTCCCCTATTCAAAGGTGAGTGGCCCTGAGCCAGTTCCCACCCTCACCCTCTTCCCCGTTTCCAATGCTGAGTGAGGGCTAGGGAACAGAGCTCTCAATATTTTCCACTTGAGAAATCTGAATACCAGGCCTGGGGCCAGGCAGTTCCTCCCCCATCCCTTAGCGAAGAACTAGCCAGAAGGACATGTAGATCACAGTGAACTTGGAAGTAGAGACTAGAGCAGGGGATTGACCCTCCTCACAAGGGCAAGGATGGACCAGGTGCAGCCATGATAATAAGCACACGCTTGGCTTGCTCCAGAGGTCCTACCACTGTCCTTGAAGCTAGGCTCAAGAGAGGTGGTGACTTGATGGGGTTACCCACTGAGGGATGACCATCTCTCACACCTCAGATTACTAGAAAGCTTTTCCAGCTGCCACTTAGGGTGGGGTAGGTGGAGGCTTGCCTTCTGTCTGGGACTTCTGTGATGGCAGAATCAACAGGACATAGTGACCAGATAACAGGGCAGGCTGTGAGGTGGCCCAGTATTGGACACCTACACAAGGGAACTGGAGAAACTTGGTGAAGGCTTTGGTGGTAGGATAAGGGAAGGGAGCAAGCTATTAATGCCTCTGCGGGGACCAGTGCCAGCCCTCAAAGTGTGTGTGGGGGGGAGGGATAATGGGGATGGTGGGGAGGTCTGGAAAGGAAACTGCTGGTTTGTCTCCCAGGCCTGGGCTATGCCTCCATGGTGATCGTCTTCTACTGCAACACCTACTACATCATGGTGCTGGCCTGGGGTTTCTATTACCTGGTAAAGTCCTTCACCACCACTTTGCCCTGGGCCACATGTGGCCATACCTGGAACACTCCTGACTGTGTGGAGATCTTTCGCCACGAAGACTGTGCCAATGCCACCCTGGCCAACCTCACATGTGACCAGCTTGCTGACCGCCGGTCCCCTGTCATCGAGTTCTGGGAGTGAGTCAGATGCCTCTGGGCCATGCCTATCCCATTCCAACCCTCTAGTTCCTCACACATGGCCTATGTTCCCATTGCTTTGGAAATACCCAGCCCAGACCCAGAAGCTGAGTGGGTCTTGTCTCATCAGCCACATTCGTTACTATCATACTGTCATGGCTGCCTGGTCAGGGAGCTGGGGCTGCATGTGTGAATGTGTGGCCTAGGGCCAAGCTGACAGTTCCATTTCCACTGGCAGGGGCTCTCAGGCTCATGGTAGAGCCTGGGTCAAGGCTTCAGGAAAGGAGGAGCCACCAATTGCTGGAGCACTTTCCAGCTGCTGGGCCCTTCTGCTGGCACAACCCTCAGGTGCCTTCTCTCTCCCCTCTACCTCTGCTAGGAACAAAGTCTTGCGGCTCTCTGCAGGGCTGGAGGTGCCAGGGGCCCTCAATTGGGAAGTGACCCTGTGCCTGCTTGCCTGCTGGGTGCTGGTATACTTCTGCGTGTGGAAAGGGGTCAAGTCAACAGGAAAGGTAAAGTAGGAAGCAGTGCGGGTGACATTATTGGGGAGGTATATGCCTTCAAGGATCACTGGCAACAGGAGGTGAGTGGGCCTGGGCTGGAGTCCTTAAATCTTGGTCCATTTTTCCAAGTATATTAGGGGTAAATCCTTCCTACCAAATTCAGGAATCTGCAGCTTTTTTGTCCTAAGGAACAGAAACCAAGGCAGTAGCTGTCCCTGCCCTGTGTCCATCAGTTCCATCCTTTTACTTTCTCATGCCCCTATTCCTATCACTGCCTTAGTCTGCTTGGTGGTCTGGCTGGCCCTAGTCTGTGGAGAGGCGGTCTCCCCTGCTTCTCTGACCCTGAGGCCCTCAGAAAAGTCATTCTCTACACATTCCTTAGGAGTTCCTTGTCTAGTTATGAAGACAGATGTATGAATAGTCACATAATGAGATTGTTTGAGCTGTGCCACCTTGCCAGTTCCCTGGAGGACTGTGGTGTGTTACATTTCATTCCCAGCAAGGCCCCTAGAGCTTGGGATGTTGGGCAAAGAGGCATCCCTATCCATCCTTTTCTTGCCACTGACTGCCCCAGTTACAATCCCCAACTACTAAAACTGCCAGCTCTCTCACAAGGATGATCTGGAGTTTGGGGCCACAGGGCTCTATACCACAGTGCCACAGGCTGTCCTTGCCCTTTTACCTCAATCTTCACAAGTCCCACGTCTTCCCTTCCCCACAAAAGACAACTTAAAAGCCTCCCCAGTGCTGCCACTCAGCTCAGCAGGTTTGCACCCTTCCCATGGATGTTCTTCCCTACAAAATAGAGGGAACATTATACATACTTAGAGGCCCTTGCCCAGAGAGCCATGGCCCTCCCTGTCTCCTCTCTTCCCTCTGCTGTTGACAAGTGCTTGCACTGGGACTGCCTGGACCCCAGCCTCACCCTTAGCTTCCCCTGGGGGGACCTCTGGGTCCAGGGAAGGAAGTAGAATGGGGGTTATGGGTGGCCTTCCCTCCTGAGCTCTAAGCAAGTAGTATGGGAAGACTGACTTAGGCTTACTTAGGCCATCCATTTCTCAGCAGGGCTGGGAGTGGGCAGCCAGACACGCTGGGGGACTTAGGGGGAGTGAGCCCCCGAGCCCCTCTGAGTAGCTTCTTCCCCAGATCGTGTACTTCACTGCTACATTCCCCTATGTGGTCCTCGTCGTGCTGTTGGTGCGAGGAGTGCTATTGCCTGGAGCCTTGGATGGCATCATCTACTATCTCAAGCCTGACTGGTCAAAGCTGGGGTCCCCTCAGGTGAGGGAGAGGAGGTTATGCAGCAGCATGGGGTGGGAGATTTGGATCTGTCAGGCTGGGTTCCTCATGCCCCATCTCTCCTGGCCTATTCATTCCTCCAGGTATGGATAGATGCTGGGACCCAGATTTTCTTTTCTTATGCCATTGGCCTGGGGGCCCTCACAGCCCTGGGAAGCTACAACCGCTTCAACAATAACTGCTACAAGTAGGCATCACCAACCTCTGCCCTGCCTGCCCTGCTCTGCCCCCTACCTGGGAGCAGTAGGCAGCCTAAACAGCCCAATCTGTCCTCTCTACTTCTAGGGATGCCATCATCCTGGCACTCATCAACAGTGGTACCAGTTTCTTTGCTGGCTTCGTGGTCTTTTCCATCCTGGGCTTCATGGCCACAGAGCAGGGTGTGCACATCTCCAAGGTGGCAGAATCAGGTAAAGCCATTCAGCTTCAGCCCATTTCCTGATTTAATACACATCCAGACACCCATGCAAACAAATTCTAAAATGTGATAGACAATTTCAATCTAAATGGTTAGATTGTTCTGGGCCACTGTGTAGCACAGCTATTATCTTTTTTTTTTTTTTGTCGGCCGTGGGGCCTGAACCCTGGGCCTGGGCACTGTCCCTCAGCTCTTCAGCTGTAGACTAGCGCTCTACTACTTGAGCCTCAGCCCCACTTCCAGCTTTTTCTGCTTATGTGGTGCTGAGGAATTGAACCCAGGGTCTCATGCATGCAAGGCAAGCACTCTACCACTGAGTCACCTTCCCAGCCCCAGCTATTATCTCTTGAGCTCCAAGGGTTGGAAGGCAATGTCTTTCCTTGAATGTTGGGTTCAGAAAATGAGGGTCTTCTCTAGCCTCTACTATATCACCTCAAATGGTGACCTGTAACTGCAACAGCCGCTGGAGCCCAGGAACAGGAGTTTAAGCCAGGCACCCAGCTTGCATGGGGGTGGGACCCTTGCTGAGGATAATAAGCATATTGGCATTTTCCAGACCTATCATGTCAGATACCTAAATGGGCCCAGTCATGCCTAGACACATGGATATGGTAGGGTGCTTTGTCTACTCTGGTACCTGCAAGGGGAGGGGAGATAACCATCTTGGGCAGGCTCAGGTATGCATAGGTTGTGGGTCTCACTCTGTACCTTCACCCTTAGGGCCCGGCCTGGCCTTCATCGCCTACCCCAGAGCTGTCACACTAATGCCTGTGGCCCCGCTCTGGGCTGCCCTGTTTTTCTTCATGCTGCTGCTGCTTGGTCTGGATAGCCAGGTTTGCAGGGGGCTCTAGGGCAGGGGTGGTATCGGTGACCAGGGCCTGACAAACTGGGAAAGGTATTGGGATGGGGTTAAGAGGCTAAGCCTCAGCTGCCCTGGCCACAGTTTGTAGGTGTGGAAGGCTTCATCACTGGGATTTTGGACCTCCTCCCGGCCTCCTACTACTTCCGTTTCCAAAGGGAGATCTCTGTGGCTCTCTGTTGCGTCCTCTGCTTTGTCATCGATCTCTCCATGGTGACAGATGTGAGTGGGAGCAAGTGGGGGGACTGCCAAGGGGTCTGGGGCTAGTTGCTGTCATCTTTCCTGACCTGCTCCTTTCCCCCAGGGCGGGATGTATGTCTTCCAGCTGTTTGACTACTACTCAGCCAGTGGTACCACCCTGCTCTGGCAAGCCTTTTGGGAATGTGTGGTAGTGGCCTGGGTTTATGGTAAGTCTAGATAGGACTGGGCTGGCAGGGAGGTCGTGGGGAAAGATGAGTAGGGCAGGTGATCTCCAATTCTGGCCCCACTACCTTACTACAGGAGCCGACCGCTTCATGGATGACATTGCATGTATGATTGGGTACCGACCTTGCCCCTGGATGAAATGGTGCTGGTCCTTCTTCACCCCGCTGGTTTGCATGGTAAGGGCTGGGGAAAGCTGGGTAGGAGAGTTGGTGTGGAGGGAGGCCCTGGTGACAGCAGATGTTTCTATGTAACTGTAGGGGATCTTCATCTTCAACGTTGTATATTACAAGCCACTGGTCTACAATAATACCTATGTATACCCATGGTGGGGTGAGGCCATAGGCTGGGCCTTCGCACTCTCCTCGATGCTGTGTGTGCCCCTTCATCTGCTGGGATGCCTCCTTAGGGCCAAGGGAACTATAGCAGAGGTAAGGCTCTCACCCATCCCTACTTCCACAGGAAAAGTTGGCCAGCTCCACCTGGGGGTGGATGGAAGAAAGCTGACCCTCTATGCCCTTGGGTGGTAACAGAAAGCAGGGACCCATCTCACTTCCCTCACTCCATGCAGAGAGCCCGCTCAATCAACCCTGCTTTCTTTGTAGCAAGTAGAACTTGAACACAGGCGGGCGTGGGATGGGTGGGGAGGTTGCCCTGACTAAAGCTAGTGGGACCTGGAAAGAGGTAGAAGAAAGTGACCATTGGATGAGGGGAGTAAACATGTCATCCTCTCCTACAGCGTTGGCAGCACCTGACCCAGCCTATCTGGGGCCTCCACCACTTGGAGTACAGAGCTCAGGATGCAGATGTCAGGGGCCTGACCACCCTGACCCCAGTGTCTGAGAGCAGCAAGGTCGTTGTGGTGGAGAGTGTCATGTGACATGCACCCCCAGCTCACATCACCAGCTCATCCTCTGGTAGCCATAGCAGCCCCTGCTTTATTTAGCCCCTACCCCACCCTTCTAGGGGCTTGCCTTTCCTTGAGTTTTGGGGTCTGCCTGGGGGGGAGGGGAGAAAAGCACTATGAGTGCTAAAATAACTTTTTTCCATTTTTAATAAAACGCCAAAAATATCACAACCCACCAAAAATAGATGCCTCTCCTCCCCTCCCCCCAGCCCCTAGCCAACCTAGTCCACACAAGGCTCCCAGGCTCTACCTCCCACCCTTCCCCTACTGCCTAGGACCCACCTCCTTACCATTAGCCCACTCTGCCTACCTCCCAGGCTCTGCTCTGTAGTATGCCCTCACCCCAAAAGCAGCAGTGGCAGCTTGGGGAATAGAGGGGGGGGTGAGGGGTGAAGCAGGATGGAAGAGGCAAGGGAGAAGCAGCAGAACCAAGGCTTTCAAATGTTTCAGCTGGACTAGACCCCCTATCCCTATCCCTATTCTAGCTCAGAGAGCCAGACAGCAAGGGAACCTTCTGGTCCCTGCACCAACAGCCACCAATATCAATTGTGTGAGTGTGTGAGCGTATATGCGTATGTGACATAGATCTTTCTCTTAGCGAAGGTGAATACCAGATGTAAATGGTGCCTCTGAGCCAAGGAGGCTTGTATTTTGCACATTTTATAAAAACTTGAGGAGTGAGATTTCTGCTTGTATATTTCTAAACAGAAAAGAGCCCGAACCATCCTTTCATTACCTTCTCCCTTCCTTGCAGCCCCTCCCCTTCTTTGCCCCTAGCCAAGGAGTGTGAATTTATAGATCTAATTTTCATAGGCAAAACAAAGCTTCAAGCTTCAGGCTGTTGAGTGAGAGTATGTTGTATGGATGTGTGTGGATGTACTCTCCAGCCCCAAAATGGGGTGGGAAAGTGCTTGGTGGGAGCCATAGGGGGTGTCTTCACATTGCCCCTTTGCACTTAAGTCTGCAGGGTGGGGATGCTGTCATTCAGTTCCAGGAATCTGGGACTATTCACCTGGCATGCTCAGGCTAGCCCATACCCTGCTCCCTGGGCTGGGCCTGACTGCAGGGATCATCCATGGGCACAGCCCAGGAAAGGGATCCCAGGCTCCGGCCTCCAAGCTTAAAGGCTGATGTACTTTTCCTATCTCCAGTCTTCCGTGTAGCAGCTTTAACCCACATCTGTGTCCTATCAAGCCCAAACAGCTGAGTGGCCCCTAGAAAGGATCTCTCCCTAAGGGGATAGACTTATGCCTAATGGGTGGGGCCAGGTGAGGGATGGGCCTATGGAGGACGTTCTTACTGTGCTAAAAAGCCACTGCAAACATAGCAATAAAAACACATCATTTTCCAAAGTTGGCCTTGTCTCTGCCTCTGCTGGGGGGGGGGGGGGGGGGGGGGGAGAGGGAGGCCCGCAGCAGCGCAGGTTGAGTATGCAAGAGGCATGGGGACTTTCAACCAGCTCCACCTGCCTACATTAAGGCCCCAGTCTAGGCTGGGTGCTTGTGACTTTACCTCTGTATGTCTACTCAGAAGGCTGAGATCTGATTGTGATTCAAAACCAGCCTAGGGCTGGGAAGTCCATGAGACTCCTATTTCCAATTAACCAGCAAAAAGCCAGAAGTAGATCTGGCTCAAGTGGTAAAATGCCAGCCTTGAGCTCAACGACAGTATCTAGGCCCCGAGTTCAAACCCTACCCAAGACAAAAAAGCCCCATTCTAAGAGACTTTAGCAGGGAAGGAAGCCCTAGTCCCCTGAAGCAGACAGATTTAGGTGACGGTAAGCTTGCTTGCTTACAGAGCAAATGCAACAAGAAGGGTGGGTATAGTTATGAGTATTAGAATTTGCACAGGTACTGGGTGGGGCTTGAGCTCAGCTTAGACACTGTCCCTTTGCTTTTCTGGCTCAAAGATGGCAATCACAGCTGAAACACAGCTTGGAGATCAGTTTCTTGGCTGGGCTGGCTTTGAACTGTGATCCTCAGATCTATCTCCCAAGTAAGATTATAGAAAGGTTGCCAGAAGACAAGATCTGAAGGTGAAGGGCTGGGTCCAACAGGGACTGTAGGACTGATACCAGTTTGAGAGTTGTTTAGGCAAATGCCAGAGAGGTGTTGCCAGGTCCTGCAGGGTATAACTGTGAGTTGGCTTTGGGCATGTCATCTGGGAAATGTCATCCAAGTGGAGATTTTTAGTTGGCACGTGGACATGGGAGTCTGCAGTTCCATCAAGTCTAGCCTAGAGCTAAAAAAAACCCTGGAGGTTCTTACTACATATACAGATGAGTCTAAATGGGCTGAGGGAAGGTATGAATGGGTGTATCAGTAAATGGGGCCCAAGCATTAGATGGCCCATAAGGCTCAGAGAGGAAGTGGCCAGTCAAGGATAGTGATGCTGTGGCATGTTTATTGGTATGGCAAGATCTCAGAACCCTGAACAAGTTTAAGTGGAGGGGCACAAAAGCCTGACTTGAGTGGGATTAAAAAGGAATAAAAGGAACTTAAGGTCTATAAGCAGATGAATGGAAGAACAAAAGAAAGGATGTCTGTACAATGGAATTTTAGCCCTAAAAATGAAGGAATTCGGGGCTGGGAAGGTGGCTCAGTGGTAGAGTGCTTGCCTTGAATGCATGAGGCCCTAGGTTCCATTCCTCAGCACCACATAAGCAGAAAAAGCTGGATGGGGCTGAGGCTCAAGTGGTAGAGTGCTAGGCTACAGCTGAAGAGCTGAGGGACAGCACCCTTGCCCAGAGTTCAGGCCCCACAACTGACCCCCCCCAAAAAAAGGAAAAGAAAATGGAGGAATTGTCTTGTTCCATGAGTGATCCTTGACATGATGAGGCTAAGTGAAACAACGCAATCATAAAAGGACAAATATTTTTACCGAAATGAACTCCAAGAAATGGAAACAAGCTTTTTTTGTTGTTTTGTCATTTGTTCATCTGTCTTTTGGAAAGTAAAGGGGGCACTTTCTAGAAATGATTGGAGAAAGGGTGATTATATGCAGCAGTAGTATTCCCTAGACACTCTAGACACTATGTTGAAAATGAACTATACAACTTGCGGGTAGGGACAGGAGGGAAAAACTGGGAGCAAGGGAAGGAGCGACACTGTCCAAAAAGAAATGAATTCTTTATCTGCCTTATGTAATTGTAACCTCTCCATACATTACCTTTATAGAAATAAAAAATGTATGGAAAAACATGGACAAACACTACATGATCCCACATATAAGCCCCTAAATTGTTGAATCCAGAGACAGAATAGAAGGGTAGATACCATGAGCTGAGGGGAATGAGGACTTCTTAATGTTTAGTAGGAACAGAATTCCAGTGTGGGAAGATGAGTTCTGCAAATGGGTTAGGGGTGATGGTTGCACAATAATGTGCTCAACTCAATGTCACTGAACTATACCTTTGAAAATGATGGGCGATGGTGGGTCATGCTTGTAACCTTAACTACTCAAGAGGCTGAGATCAGAGTATTGTGGTTCAAAGCCAACCAGGGCAGGAAAGTCTGTGACTCTTATCTCCAACCAGAAGTGGAGCAGTGGTCAAGTGGTAGAGCACTAAACTTGAATGAAAAAGCTCAGGACAGCAGGGCCTGAGTTCAAGCCCAAGACTGGCCAAAAAAAAATGGTGAAAATGATATTTTGTTGTATGTTACAATGAAAAAGAAAAAAAATAGTGATCAGTCAGTCCAGACAGATCTGTAGATGCAGCAGGTCACACCTTGGGCAGGAGTTATGACCAGGCAGCCCTAGTTCTGTTGTGTAGCATTCTCCAATTTTTCTTTGTGTTTCTCCTTCCACAGAACCCTGACCCTTTTAACTTCAATGCCACTTCCAGAACACTTGCCTGCTAATAAGTCTCTTCAGCTTTTCTTAGCTGCAAAGGCCCTTAGTAAGGGTCCACTAGACTCTTCCCACTGTGCACAAACCCCCCTATACCAAGCTGCTCCCAAACAACTGCCCTCCAGAAAGAGCTGGCAGCCCCAGTGTTAACCATTAGAGCCTATCCCTTCTCCTTTGGGATTACACCTAGCCCTGAAGAGCTCTCAGTTATATCTTTTGCCTGAGATGAGAGCTCTGGTCCATTCTTCTACCCATCAGGCCAAAAGCCCTCCAAGCTACCTGCCACATTGCTATCAAAGACACATAAAACAGTGACAGCACAAAAAGACAACATCATGGGGGTTTATCGTCTGAACTAGATACTAGCAGGTAGGGCTGTTTACTCTGGAATCTGCCTGCTTGCTAACAGTTAGGACAGGAAATCAACAAAAGAAGTGGTCTTAGTCCTTAAGGTACATAAAATATAATGAGGACAATGGGAAAGCAAACAAAGAAAATAGGACTATCCCTATCATTCTCCCCATTAAATGGGGATGCCCTGGAAAGTAGGCCAGAGATGGGCTTTGCAAAGGTTGGAGTGGAATGGCAGGAGTGGCTGTCTGGACTTTAGCCTGTTGAAGCACAGATGGGTGAACTCAGGGAGGCCCTGAGTTTCCTTCCTGGAAAAGTGGACTAGGTCTAACCCTTGGCATAGCAATCAGAAGGCGTCACCAAAATGTTCCACCCCCATGGGCACCACTTCTCAGACTGCTAGGAAAGGTGTGGACTTCTTAAAAGGCAGCCATACTCTTGAGTGCTAGGAAAGGTGATAGGATGCTTGAGAAAGCAGCTTCTGGCCTGGACCCAGATACAACAAGCTGGGGTGGACTATTAGCTACCTGGCCAGTATTAATCTTCAGGAGTCACCCCAATTCCGAGACACACACCTTTGGTCTGTTCCCCCGTCCCTCCACCCAGAATTCTCACATATAGGTGTGGCAGAGAACCTGCAGGGGGCAGGGGAAGAGGACAAGCACCTCAGCAAAGACAGAGCCCTTGTGCTGTGTTGGAGAGAAGCTCAACTGCAGGCTGACCATGCATGACTGACTAGAGGAAGCCACCAGGGGAACTGTCAATAAGCCAGTTCCAGTGAAAGACCACACTCTATGTCTTCAGGGCTGGAGGCAGTAGAAGGGCCCTGACCCTTCTGCAGCATGTCTCCACTGCTTCACTCTGCCCTGGGCCAGCTCTAGGTCAGTGGCAAGGACATGTCTCCTCTCCCAGTCAGCATTAGTCAGAGGTTATGCTGCAAAACCTTCAGGAGGGGGTAGGGCAGGGAGTGACTGGTGGCGCTCTGCCACATTATATCTGTCCCGAATGTGATGAACAGGAACCTAGAGAAGGCAGGCATGTCTGCCACCAGGAAGTCCTATTGGTTTATCAAGCTTCTGGGACAGCTGCCAATCCCCAGGAAGACTGACAGGACAGATACTCCCCAAGAGGTATAAAGTGGGGCCTGTCCCAGCCTTTGAAGGCAAGTGTGACCCTCGTCTCCAGAGCTGGAACCAAACTCAAGGAAAAAAGGGTTGCCACACAGAGCCCTGGCTGCACCTTTCTGGAAGTTCTGGAGTTTTGAAAAAGGAAGAATCCTCCCTGTAGCCTCAGTTGTACACAAGTATCTTGTATGCATTATAACTTTTATTGCCTGCAGAAGAAATAAGTCAGCCTGCTTCACAGGCCTCCTGCAGGACAAGAGAACATGTCAACATTGTAAAACAAAAGATGCTCTGACACTGGCCAGGTCACAAGTGCCATACTCAAAGGAGTGGAAGTGGCCCAGTCAGGCAGAACAATGGCAAATTAGTGACAACCAGGTCCCCCTGTGCTATGCTGGTAGAGTGGAAAAGAGCCAAGATGATGAGCTAACAAGCTAAGGAAGGGGATGGGGGGGAGTGAACTGAAAAATCAAGGGAAAGAATTGGCCTCCAGGACAGCAAGCACAGGCCAAGTGGAAGCTGGTTGCAGGCAGGGAAGGAGGCAGTCCCTCACTCCTCCTTCTTGTCTGTAGGACCATCAACCGAGGCCTGGAAAGGGACAAAGCAGTTAAGTTGGCAGGGCCTACCTCCTTTAACTTCTAGCCCTATTGCCCAGAGGCCCAGTTGAGTTCCCTTCTCTAAATGACAGATATTCAAGTGTGCAAGGCACCCCACCCAAAGCACCCAAAAACTTGCTCGAGTGTGAATATTGATGCTTCCTATGTTAGGAAAGGCTCTGAACTTAACACTTGCTAGGACAGAATTGCTAGGATCTCAGTGTGGGCTAAGCTCTGGGGGTAAAAGGGAACAGCTGGAATCCTTTACCATAGAGTAGAAACAAGACTTCCTCCCCAACACATGGTTGGCCAGCTTTCAAGTGGCAACTCAGGCCCTTTTCAACTTTGTATACCTTGCACAGCTCCCCTCAAAACTCAGCTCCTTCACACTAATGGTGCAGGAACCCCTATGGGACTAGGCCCTTTTTCCTA